AAAAAAGGTAATGAAACTTGTCAAGTAAAACTTGAATGATGGAGTGTAATGTAAATACATGATTGAGAGTGGGAAGAAATTTTTTTACTTCATGTATCTATATATATATATATATATATATGAGGTTGATGATCTATGAAAAGTTCTTTTTTATTATTATAACCAATACTTGTTTCAATGATATCAAGACTATTCATGAACAAAGAAATATGTCAATATATCATGGAGTTTTAAAAGCTAGTAAAATGGAATCGACTTCAAAAAATGGAGAATCAATATTTTATGAGATTCTTACTAAAGTTAGCAATATGAAATAACTTTAGAGTATAGATGTTGATTATAGTCGCTTTAGCAAGGAGCTTAGCATGAAAAGATGAGATGTTGATACAAAAAAAAGAGAGGCTAGAAGCATTAGTAAATTCAATCCTTAAAAAAGGCTAGAAGCATTAGTAAATTCAATCCTTCTAGAAGGCTACATAATGAGGCTCGAAAATTCAATATCACTATTAAGGAAACGGTAGTAAAAACATCAAAGTAACCTTCAATGAGATAATTGTTAAACATGATAAGACTATAAAGAAGCAAGTTGATACTAGCAAATCAAAAAAACTTAATGTCAAGCCAATAATTTAAAACTACTTTAAATGTAAGAAGGCATGGCATTGTTATTGTAATTATAGAAGGCAGAAATCAATCAATGTGATTGAAGGTAATGTGAGTAAAAACCTTTTAAATATAATGGTAAGTTATATAAACCCGATTCAGATGAGGAAGAAGATTTGTATAAGTATAATAATAATGATAATAACAATGATGGCGAGGGATAAACCTATCTAGTTAGGAAGATATTGCCAACATCAAATGTTATAGAAGATTCACAGCAAAACAAGTTATTTTGTACTCAATACACCATAAATAATAACTTGTTTGATTTGATTATTGATAATAGTTGCTATGAAAAATTATTGATAAATATATTGTTGATAAATTAAAATAGCCATTAGAACCACATCTTAAACTATATAAAATTTGATGGATTAAGACAATAAGAAAAATAAAAGTAACTCAAAGTTGTAAAGTACCTTTTTTCTAACAAAAATATAGGGATGAGACTTCTTATCACATGGTATTAAAAATGCATTTAGTTTAATATTCGGTAGGTCTTTGTAGTATGATGCAAATGCTAAACACTTAGGTAGTGATAATTTATATAATGTGAATTTTAACATTTTCTTTGAAAGAAAAACCAAACCCAAACTTTATAAAATAGAATGAAAGGCTTTCCTTACCACAATTAATTCAAAACATGAGATGCAATTAGATGTAAAGAAGACTAGACTTGTTTATGCATTAATTATAAATAAAAGAGTAGCAAGGGAAAATATAGTTATTCCTACTATAGTTAAACCTTTTCTTTCTAAATTTGGGAAGATTCTACTTATTAGTTATTGGATGGATTACTCTTGATGAGAGATTCAATATCATATTGATTTAGTGTCATGAGCTAACCTTTCAAATTTACTATACTATTAAATGAGTCATAAAAAGGATGAAATATTGAAGGATAAAATGAAAGAGCAATTCATAAAATGATAGATTCAAGAAACCTTTGGTCTTCACATAATTTTAGCCTTGTTAACCCTAGAGAAGGATGGTAGCTAGGGTAAGAATATTGAAAATGTTGTCATTAATAATATAATTATGGGTCACAAGTTTTTAACTCCCTAGTTAGATGACATGATTAACCAGTTATATAGATTATTAATTTTTGCAATGATTGATTGGAGGAATGATGCTATCATATCTAAATTTGACCAGGAGATGAGTGGAAGTCAACCTTTAATACAAAAAATACATTGTATGAGTAGTTGGTTATGTATTTCAGATTATCTAATATATCGAACCTTTTTTCTAAGAATAATGAAAAAGATTTTATGTCTCTTTATAAATTAATTTATGATTGTTTATTTTGATAACATCTTGATTTATAGTTAATCTGAAATTAACCAAATGGGACATCTAAAAAAAGTGTTGGTGAATTTGTTGGAAAATAAACTATATATGAACTTGAAAAGATATAGTCTTATGACCGATAAATTACTATTTTTAGGTTTTTTTATTAGCATAGATGACATATCAGTTAATGAAAAGAATGTTAGGATTTTTAGAAATTAGTCAATCCATAAAATAGTTAATAAGGTGTGCAATTACGATAGATTAACTACCTTTTATTGACAACTCATATAAAACTTCAATAATATAGTTGCACTAATTACTTAATGCATAAATAAATGGGAGTTCAATTAGGGAGAAATGGAAAAGAGCTATGATTTGATTAAAGAAAAAATAATCATTACTTTGATTTTGACACTTTTGAATTTTGACAAAATATGTAAGGCTGAATATAACACTTATGTTGTTGGAACTGGCTATGTACTCTCTTAAGAGAAGAGACTCATGATATTTTTTGGTGAGAAGTTAAGAAATGCTAGATTTAAAAGGTCCATATATGATAAGGAGTTTTATACTGTTTTCAGACTCTGATAAAGTAGGAGCACAACCTAATAGATAAGAAATTTGTTTTGTATTCTAATTTTAAGACGCTGAATTTTTAAATACTTATAATAGAATCACTAATGACATACACGCAAGATGAGTAATTTATTTGTAGCGGTTCCAAATCAGAATTGTGTATAAGGTTATAATTTAGAATGTAGTTTTTGATTCTTCAAGTCAAAGGTAGCCTTGTTAATTACTTTAAAAGGAGAGTTCACTAGGTCCAATTATTTAAAGAACTATTTGAACATGATGAAAATTTTGATGAGTTATAAGGGAAGTGTTAAAGTTAGAATCTATCTATTAATGACTTTCACATTCATTATGGGTTCTTAATGAGAGGTGATTGACTTAGCATTTTTCATTCTTTATTGCGAGAAAAGGTGATTTAAGATTTGCATAGTGAAAGATTGTCTAGTCATTTATAGAGAAAGAAGACCACTAATGATATAATTGAGAGGTATTATTGACCTCAATTCAAATATTGACAAGTTTATGCAAAGATATTATATTTGTCAAACTATTAAAAGGCAAACAAATAATACAAGTTTATACATATCATTGCCTTTTCTTAAAAATATATGGAAGGAATTGTCTATAGATTTTGTACTTAATTTACCCCATACATAAAGAGGAGAGGATTTTATATTTGTTGTAGTTATCATGTTCTCTAAAAAAACGTGTTTTATCCCTTATAAAAAGATAAATAATGCTTTTATAATTGCTCAACTTTAATTCCAAGAGGTGGTTCATTTGCATAGGATGTCGAAGACCATCAATTTTGATTTAGACAACAAGTTTCTTAATCGTTTTTTATGGACGTTACGAGGGATGAATATTTCAACCCTATAATTTAGTAGCACAACATATCCATAAATAAATTGATAAACCAAGTCGTTGAATCAAATAATTAGTAACTTCATTCGGAACATCTTTGATGACACACTAAAATTTAGAATTGTGCGCTTATGCAAGAAGAATTAATGTGCAACAGTTCTAAGCATAGTGCCACTAATAAACCACCAATCAATATTGTGTATTTGTAATGTCCTAGACATGTACTTGATCTTGTATCACTTCAGAAGGGTTTTGGATATAACTTGTTACTAGGAAGATGGTTATGGATGTACAAGTTATGCTTAATACGAGGTAAAAAATGTTGAAAACTAATTCTAAATATAAGGTGATTGCCAATAAATATTGTCATGCTAATATTCAAGAATGAGATAAGGTGATAGTGTTTCCATACAAAAAGAGATTATTTATAGGGTTCTATAATAAGTTGCAGGAAAAGAAATATGGTCCTTACACCAAAATAAAGAAAATTAATGATAATGCTTATATTAGTGATCTACCAGATGATGGGTATTCCTAGGACCTTTAATGTTTCCTATATTTATCTTTATTATGATGAAAAGATATTATATCTAAAATTTGGTGTTGTAAATATATTTATGGATTAGGTAGATAAGGCAAAGCTTGTAAAGAATCTTGTGAAGAAATCAAAACATTTGAAACACGCAATGTGACAAAAATAACTATAACTTTAGATTCAACTATTAGATCAGGTACAAATTATGATAGATGATTCTATAAGCCTAGTTTCAAGGAAGTCAATTAATTATAACTAGCTGAGGAAAGTCTTTAAATTTGGCTAAAAAAATGTTGTTTAATTATTTTCCTCGTTAAGTTTAGGTTTTAATCACTATTTTTTACTTTGATTTGGATTTGTTTTTGTTAGTTTGGTTTCAATGTCTCTATAAATAGTTAATGTGTGTTTTTTTTCCTTATGTTATTGATTTGTAAACTTTTCAGAAAATATCAGAATTTTTTCAAGCTATTTCTTTATAGTTTAGGACTGTAATTTCAGGATTTGAAAACCCTAGTTTTTATCTATGCTATATGCTAAGTCACATTTATAAGAACAAAAATCATTTGTGTGTGTGTGTGTGTGTGTGTGTGTATATATATAATTGACAATCAAGGTTAAATGATTAAGTATTCGCATGTGTCTCTATCTTTTACTTCTTACAAGAAATATTTACTTTTCACTTTAATTTTTAATTAATTATTATAATGTTTTTCTTTATATATAAGTTAGTAGTTTATATATTTTTTAATTAATTTAATTAGGCAAAGACATCATTTTTTATTTTTTAATTAAAAAAATTCATGACATGAGAAAACTTATCTACAAGGTCAACATTTTTTATAATATGAGAAACTAATTTATAATTTTACTTGCAATATAATACAAGTACTTGTACTACTTGTTACTAAATTAGTTTAAAGACAAAGTCAATAACATTGGATGTTATTTGTGCTAGGTTATGAACTAAGGCTGAATGATGATTATATAGATATATAATAAAGCAATAATTTGGTTTCCTAATAACTAATACTCTAAATAATTTGTGTTTCTTTTCCCTCTTTCTTATTAATAGAACAATTCTTTGCCTTTCAACAAATATGCATTTTTGGCGACTCACAATGCCTATGCTATTGATGGATACCCATCTCACACTAGAGTTCCTCGAATCACATTTACCAATCAAGAAGACAACGTCATGGATCAGCTAAATGTAAATGTTTCTTTCCTGTTTAAATATCCCTTTTCCATGCTAGAACATCTTTTGTTGTCAATTAACAAATGCCATTAATTATTTAACTACAGAATGGAGCTCGAGCCTTGATGCTTGATACCTATGATTTTCGTGGAGATGTATGGTTATGCCATTCATTTAAAGGACAATGTCATGACTATACTGCATTTGTATGGACATTTTATTCCCTACTAAGTTTTGTGAGATTTTATTCCCTTTATTTTATTCATAGTTTAAAAATGTTTTGTGTTTACCACTAGTAGGGTCCAGCTATTGACACTCTAAGGGAAATTGAAGCTTTCTTATCTACACACCCATCAGAAATTGTTACAATAATTTTAGAAGATTATGTACAAGCCCCAAATGGATTGACGAAGGTCTTCACTGATGCTGGCTTGATGAAATATTGGTTTCCTGTGACAAACATGCCCAAAAATGGTCAAGATTGGCCATTAGTTAATGACATGGTCCAAAATAACCAAAGGCTACTTGTTTTCACTTCAATTCAATCCAAGGAAGCAAGTGAAGGCATTGCTTACCAATGGAATTTTATGGTTGAAAATCAATGTAAGAAATATTAAAAAAATGTCAATAATTCTTTCATTTTTTTTTTACTTTTTATAAAGCTATAGAATTTGTTATGAATATATGCATACAATTGTTTTTGGCAGATGGGAATGTTGGCATGAAAGCAGGAAGTTGCACTAATAGAAAAGAGTCATCTTCTCTTAATGACAAGAGTAGATCATTGGTGTTGGTGAATTACTTTAGATGTATTCCTATGAAGAAACTCTCTTGTGAAGATAACTCAAGAAATCTCATAAAAATGCTTCATACCTGTAGCGGTGCTGCTGCCAACAGATGGGCAAATTTTGTTGCTGTAGATTATTACAAGGTATATGTATATACATACACACCTTGCAAATTATCTTTAAATTCTCCTACAATTACATTTCCTCTCATTTACCTATAAGTCTCAAGATCCAATCTCTTCTTAGTAACAAAGGAAAAGAATAAAAATAAATAAATCCCTTATAATGATGTTCATTCAGTATTTTTGTTGATTAGATCATTAGAAATAAAATAGAAGAAATCTAGAGTAACAAAAAATAAAGTGGTATGTTTTTTTTTGCCACAGAGAAGTGAAGGAGGAGGATCATTTCAAGCTGTGGACCTGCTAAATGGGAAGCTATTGTGTGGGTGTGATGATATCCATGCATGTGTGGTAAGTTATAATTGGGATTAAGTTTGTTAACATTCACCGTATCAAAATAATGTTATGCTTGCCATTACTAATCATATAAATTTTTTTTGTTGATTTTATATTCCTATAATTACATTAACTTATTCTCATTGTTCCGTGTCTTATGGAAACTAGGGCATAGTCTAATTAGCACATCAAATCTTCTTCCCATATTGAGTTTTGCATAATAATATGATCCTAATTCGTGAAAATTTCACTAACAATATTATGCATTTTCTTCTACTTTAAGTGTAAAACCCTTAGAAACACAACTTTTATATATATACAAAAAGGGTAGGACCAGACTTAAAAGGTATGAATAAATGAGGGATAGAAACAAAAAAAAAAAAAAGGGGAGGGGGAGAGAAGAAAATTGTCATCCCTGAAAAGAGGAGAGCTAATGACAGGAAAAAAAAAAAGAAAAATGGAGAAGAAAAGTCACTCATTTCCTTTTCATTTTCTCTTAAGAACAAACAAGGAGAACTATATGCAATTCACCAGATGAGAGGAAACTATAAGGGTGAGGGAAGATTTAGACATCAAAAGACAAGACAAGAGAAGAAAAAAGCCAATAAGGAGATGACGATAGAAAGGGAAGAGAAGAGGAACAACCGAACATTTAAGGGAGAAGGGGTTCCAAGGAGTAGAAAACACAACTAGGACAAACCTAAGACCTTCCTAGAGAAATTTTGAACATTCTAGTTAAGTTGCATGCTAGAATACAACAACTCTAGGTTAAGTTTTTAAGAAAATCTTTAAGTAAGTTAAGGTAAGGATAAGTATAAAGGAGAGGTAAAGAAAGGCCAAGTGATATTATTGACCCAACTAGAGGACAACAGAACTTTTTTTTTTTAAATAAACCTTCTGTGAAATTGAATTAGTAATGTTTCTTATGACTGCTAATGAACCAAAATCCTAAAGGATAATGATGGGAGGGTAAATGTAAAAATAATGGTAAAACTTAAACAAATGTTGCCACCATTTCTATTACTATGTTGTGAAATGTGATTCAGAATGGAATAATGATGGGTATTTATGGATTCAAAAGGAATCGCAAGAGGAATACAACAACAACAAAGGAACAAAAGTCGAGCTTCTACAGCAGGTAGGTATTCTACATCTATATCTTTTGTAGTTAACATGATTCTAGTTATTTGTTTGGATTATAAATCTTGTGCCTATCAATGAAAATGAAAAGAGAAAAGGTGAAATGACATGAATGAGAACCGGAAAATCAAATTTGATTTATGAGTTCCTTTGGAGAGAATGGACAAAAATAATGAGTTTTCATGGATAATCATCCATTGGAATTAATTGGCTAGTCCCAAATATGGGAGGCTAATAATGTGAGCTAGGTTGACTAACATTGACATAACCAATATGAAAGAGGAGAAATATTGGACTTGATTAACTATTTAGGTTAAGAATAGGTAATGATATCGTCAGTTGATGTCGGTATCGGTAAACTCACAGAACTTGATTAGGTTTCCTGAGGTGAAAGCTAATAATGCCAATAATTCTTGACATTGGCATACTTAAGGATATTTCAAGGTAATATGGAACACTAATTAACTATGAACGAGTTATGTTGGTGTTAGCATTCCCACAAACTTGATTAGTCGATTCCAGAATGGGCGACTAAAGATACTAATATGAGTCATTAATATCGGCAATCATCTTCCTAGATTAGGCAAAAAATGGCACGATGATGTGCTCCTGATGAAACTTGGGATGTTTATCAAATGAAAAATAATGGGTGAACCTCAGAAGTATAAATAGGGACATAATCGTAGAAGACAATTAAGAATTCAAGAGCCATTGTTGTGCGAATTAGTATATGATTAAATATATAAGCATGTATTATGTAAATTTTTGTTTTTTTATTTTTTATTTGCATATTTTATTCATTCTAAAAATTATAAATTACAGGTCCTTCCCACTCATGTCAAGAGTAGTATTTAGGTCCCCTAGTTTTCTTTTACATGAATTAGGAATTACCTGTGTATTTTGTTCTTAAGTGGCCATGTAACTCGAGACATAATAGTGTCATCCTTTTAATTTTTTGTATGGAATACTATATTGTATTATTTTGTATTTTGAATTCAAATGTTTGTATTATTCTTTTATTTGTTAAATTATGTTTGTTAAATTTGAAAGAAATTAGGTAGATAAAATGTTATATCTATGTTCTTAAATATATTATTGAGTTGGACTTATTATGGTTGTGATATGATTGAGATATGAGTATAAAATGTGTATAGGATGATACTTTATAACTTAGAATCTCCCAGTATAGAGGAGACTCTGTTAAAATTTTAGTAAAAATTTTGGTAATCCTTAAATAATGGGAAAAAATACCCATAAATTTAGTAGTATATTTGTGTTATTTGATCTTGGAAATAGGAATGTTACAATTTGGTATTAGTGCCTCTAGTTGAAATTTCAAGGACTGAAGTAATGACGTGGTTTTGGAAAATATATTGCAGGATGGTTCATACATAACAAGGAGTAGTGACAAACTCATTGGATGGTAACGAAGCCAAAGGGGATCCACTGATGGACATTGCCTCTCATTTACCTGCAACATCAACCCATTTTAAGAATAAAGAATCATGGGGGCATTAGGATGACCCTACATGCTGTCGGGTAGAAGTGTTGCTACCTAGAGGAATTGGTGGTCAAGGACTAGAAAATAGGCCTCACCGGCTGCATCGACAGCCATAGCAAATCCATATTCAGACCCTATATTTCTAGTGCAACTGGTCAAGGCAGTAGCAGTAAGGATGGTTGTAAGCACATTTAGTCCCGCGCCTCGGGCAGATAGAGTGGTTACCCTAGTTCAATGGGTGAAGGGTCAAAAAATAGGTTGTACAACCTATTCGGGGGAAGAAGACACTGAAGTAGTATGATTTTGGTTGAGAAAGGTAGAAAGGGTTACAGATCATATGCAAGTGCAAGAGGAAACCTGGGTGGACTATATGACCTAGTTGTTGATAGAGAAATCCCACTCATGGTAAGAAATTATCAGAAAAAGAAAAGCAAAAAAAGGGTTGATTTAGAAAGATTTTCGAGAGGAATTTAAAGAGAGGTATTACTTTTGGAGGCATAGAAAGGAAAAAGAGTAGGAGTTCCACGACCTGAAGTAGGGGAGATAACAATTTTAGAATACGAGAGGAGGTTCCAATACTTATCTATCTTTGCCACTACTTACCTCCCTACCAATCATTATCGAGTAGAATGGTTCCAAGATTGACTTAGGCATAAATTAAAGATAATATTAGTAGCTACATAGTTTCAGTCCATCTAGGATCTAGTATGGGTTGTGCAGGGTACGAAAAGGGTGATAAATGATATACCGAGGCTAACTAGTGAATATAGTCAAATGGCATGGTTTAAAAGAAAGGACTTTGTGCCTCAGTCAGGAAGAGCTCAATATTCGAAGAAGGGTAAAGGTAGTCAGTCTTTTAGGCAACTTCAAAAGGGAGGGGGAAGTTTTGTTCATAGAAGGAGTTTAGGGAGAGCTAAATGGGCCGATACCGGGGGACATACCAAGTGTCAAAATCAGTAAGGAGCCAATACTACAGGAGGACCCGCAGAACAAAGGAACCCACCTATTCATTGTGTATGAGGTATAATCAAAAGCACCTTAGGGACTGTTTTACAACACTAAAAAGATACTATATTTGTAGAGGTGAGGGGCACTGATGGAGGGACTACCAATATTTAGGGAGAGGTTGCTTCCATTATGGGGACACAGGTCACAAAAAAAAAATATCCACGCAAGGCCACTAAAAGGGTATAAAGATAGGAGGTTACCACACAAAGCCAACAACAATTAGTGATAGTGAATTGACCAATACGACCTACTCAGTCAAGAACAAGTGCCAATAGGGGCCGACCCCAATTCTAAAAAGAGAGGACCTGAGGCAAGGTATTTCATATGACTCAAAAAGATATGGAGGTTATGCCAGATGTTGTAGTAGATATATTTCAACTAGGCTAAATAGAAGTTCATTCTTTAATTGATCTTGAAGCTAGTCATTTTTTTATGGCTTATTGAATTGTGAATGATTTAAATGTGCCACTAAATAGACCAAGTGTAGGAATGACAATTAGTATGCCTATAATAGCAAATATAAACAATGGCGATGTATATAAAAATGTGGTATTATACATTAAGGTGGTGAAATTGAGGGTGTACCTTATATCATTAGAATTATATAAGTTTGATTTGATTCTAGGTATGTATTAGCTGAGTAAACATAAAACATAAGTGGATTGCTTTACTAAAACTATGGTTATCTAGGGGGAGGGTGAAAAAAATGTAGTATTTAAAGGAGAGAGAAGGGTAGCACCAAATTTTATAATTTCAGTTATGATAGCAGGGAAATTAATTAAAAAAGGGTGCCTTGTATAGTTGTTTCATCTAAGAGAATTAAAAAAGAGAAGTATAGAATTAGCAGATTTTTTTATTGTAAGAGAATTTCCATATGTGTTTTCAAAGGAGTTACTTGGGCTACCACTAATTAGGGAGATTGAAGTTTCCATTAAAACCATTCAAGGGGTCAACTTTATAGCATAATCTTCTTATAGGATGGCCCCATAGAACTAGCTAAACTAAAGATCTAACTTTAGGAATTGTTGGACAAAGGATTCATATGGCCAAATAACTTGCCTTGGGGAGCTCTCATATTATTTGTGAAAAAAAAATGGTACATTTTAGCTATGTACAGATTATCGTTAGTTGAATAAAGTGACGATAAAGAACAAGTACCTATTACCACAAATAGATGACTTGTTTGATTAATTATAAGGTGCGAGGGTGTTTTCTTAGATAAATTTCAGGTCGAGGTACCATTAGTTAAGAATCAAAGAACAAGACATACAAAAAACTGCTTTTAGAAGTCGATACCAGCATTATGAATTTTTAATGATGCCTTTTGGGTTGACAAACACTACAACAATATTTATGGACTTAATGAATCAGGTGTGGTGGTGTTTATTGATGATACATTGGTGTATTGTAGTTCCTATTTATAACATGAGCAACACTTAAGGTGTGTTGAAAACATTGAGAGAGAATATACTATATGTAAAGCAAGATAAATGTGACTTTTGGCTCAAAGAAGTAGTATTTTTGGGTTATGTTATCTCTACGAGAGGAATATTTATAGATCCAGAAAAAGTAGAGGTTGTTTTGAAATGGAAAAGACCTACAAATGTGACGGAGATTTAGAGTTTCTTGGGGCTCCTAGGGTATTATAGGAGATTTATGAAAGGTTTTTCTACAATACATCATAGTTGACCAAGATAACCTGTAAGGAAGAAAATTTTATTTGGTCAAAAGAATGCAAGGAGAGTTTTGAGGAGTTAATAGAGAGACTTACCTTCGCCTTAGTCTTGGCCTTTCCTTCAAGAACAGAGGGGTTCATGGTATACAGTAATGCTTCAAAGAGGGGTCTAAGATGCGTGTTAATATAACATGGGAAAGTGATCGCCCATGCCTCCAGATAGCTAAAGCTAAATGAAGTGAACTACCTAGTCCATGACTTTGAACTTGTGGTAGTAGTATTTGCCTTACGAGTATGGAGACATTACCTATATAGGACACAAGTTTATATTTTTATTGATCTTAAGATTTTGAAGTATTTAATACCATAAAAAGAGTTAAACATTCAATAAAGGAGATGGGTGTAATTAATAAAGGATCATGATTGTATGATTGATTATCATTTGAGTAAGGCCAATATGGTAGCAGATGCTTTGAGTAGGAGGGGGAAAATGGTGGTTGATGATTTAAGGAATAAAGAACATAAGAGTTTAATAGAGTTTAAAAAGATGGGTTTGCGGCTAAGTGTGCGTCCAGAAGGGTCAATACTAGCTCAAGTAAAAATTTGATTGATGCTTGGAGATAAAGTCCCGAAGCTGAGCTGGAAGATAAGGGAGTATGAAAAATCAAGGAATAGATAAATTGGGGTTTAGAGATACCTTTTTAAATTTTATCAAAAGGATTGTTAGCAATGGGCAAACGAGTCTACTTGCTTAAAAATAAGTTACTGAAGGAAGAAATCTTGAATAAAGCTTATGAATCTTGATTTATAACTCATCTTGGGAGCACCAAGATGTACCAGGATTTAAAGGAATATTACTGGTTATCGAACATAAAAAGGGACATAGTAGAATATGTGTCAATATATGAGATATATCTACAAGTGAAGATAGAATATTAGAGGCTGACGGGGGAGCTACAACTGGGTCTAATTTCAGAATGGAAATGGGAAAAAATAACCATGGACTTTATAATTAGATTGCCAAGGAGCAAAAAGGGTAATGATGTTATATGAGTGATTGTTAATCAATTAATGAATTCAACCTTGTTCTTACCTACAAAAATGACAGATCCCATAGACAAGTAGCCAAGTTATATGTTAAGGAAGTGATTAGGCTTCATGGAATGCCTGTATCAATCATGTCGGGCCGGGACCTAAAGTTCACCTTAAGGTTATGGCCAAGCTTGTAACGAGCTTTAGAGACTAAGATGAACCTGACACTTGAAGACCTCCTAAGGTCATGTGAAACTAGTTAAGATCATGGATCAAAGTGAAAAAGTACTAAGAAATTAAAAGAGCCATTAGTAAGAGTACTATGAAGGAACTCCCAAATAAAAGAAGAGACATGGGAGAGGGAATTGGAGATTAAAGAAAAATACCCCCATCTATTCTTTAAAATAAGTACGTTTCTTAAATTTCGAGAATGAAATTTTTGTTAGGAAAGGAAAATGTAAAACCAAGAGAAACAATATATATATATATATATATAGTGAGTATTATAATAATAATAGTGCAATTAAATAAAGAAATGCTCTTTGTTCATATAAAAAGAAAAAATAGATTTAGAGACCTAAAAGGGAAGAAACAAAAAGGGGAGGACCAAACATAACAGGTATAAATATATGAGGGATAGAAACAAAAAAAAAAGGGAGGGATGAGAAGAAAATTGCTATTCCTTAAAGGAGGAGAGCCAACGACAGAAAGTAAGAAAAAGGGAGAAGAAAAGTCACTCACTGCCTCTTTATTTTCTCTCAAGAACAAACAAGGAGAATCACATACAATCCACCATATCGGAGGAAACTAGAAGGGTGAGTGAAGATTTAGACATCAAAAGACAAGGAAAGAGAAGAAGAAAGCCAAGATGGAGCCGGCAGCAACAAGGGAAGAGAAGAAGAACTTAAACATTTGAGGGAGAAGGGGTTCCAAGGAGAAAAAAACATAATTAGGAGAAACCTAAGACCTTCCTAGAGTAATTTCAAATATTCTGGGTAAGTTGTATGCAAGAAAACAATAGCCCTAAGTTAAGTTCTTTAGAAAATCTCTAGTAAGTTAAGGTGAGAATGGATATGGGGGAGAGGTAGAGAAAGGCTAAGTGATATTCTTGACTCAACTAAAGGACAAAGAAACTAGGGGAAGGTCTATAGACCTTCGGCCAAATATGAACAAAGAGTGAGGAGAAATATGTTGATACTAAATAAGCATGCATGTTGAGAGACAATGTTGAATTTCACAAAATTATGATATGCTAATATTTGAAAAAATTTGAACAACCTTGTTCCGTATATTCCTGTGAAGCCTAATCCCTAAATTAATTATGTTCTTATATGTGACTGTTAACAAGAGAAAAAGGTGAAATTCTATGGGTAATCCTGAATGAAGAAAGGAAAAGAAATGCATGAAAAATGATGGTTTGTGTGTTAAAAACCCAAATCTAGAGAAAATCTAGGTTATTATGTTAATTAACTTACGTCTAGAAATTGACATAGATAGAGGCATAATATAGAGTATCACCCTTTATAGAAGTTGTATTTTAACCTCGTTTAATTTAGAGTTTTAAAGCTCTAGATATAGGTAAATATCTGAAGGGAGGTCGATTTATCATTCCCTATTGGTAGATTCAACCAAGTTAACAAAATGATTAAACTTAGCCACGTTAAAAATATAATTAGCCACGTTAAAAATATAATGTGTTCCTCCCTATAAAATTTATAGCATCATGTCCTAACATACAAAAAAAAAAGAAAACAACTATATTTGAAATTGAATTAGTGATGTTTGTTATGACTGCTAATGAACTAAAATCCTGAAGGATAATAATAGGAGGGTAAATGTAAAAATAATGGTAAAAGAGAAATGAACATTGTCATCATTTTTATTACTATGTTGCAAAATATGATTGAGAATGAAATAATAATAGGTACTTGTGGATTCAAAAGGAATCATAAGAGGAGTACAACAAGAATAAGAGAATGCAAGTCAAGCTTTTGTAGCATGTATGTATTCTACACCTATATCTTCTTTAGTTAATACAATTCTAGTTATTTGTTTGAATTATAAATCTTATGCCTTTGAATGAGACCGAAAAGAGAACAAATGAAATGATATGAATGAGAACTAGAAAACCATATTTGATTTATGAGTTCCTTTGGAGAGAATGGATGAAAAGAATGAGTTTTTATAAATAATCATTACTTGGATTTGATTAGCTGGTTCCAAATATGAGAGGTTAATGATATTAGCCAAGTTGGCTAGCATCAGCATGACCAATATAAAGGAGAAATATTGGACTTGATAAACTATTCGAGTTAAAAATAGTTAATAATATCATCGATTGATGTCATTATTGGCAAACTTATGGAACTTGATTAGTTTTTTTGAGGTGAAAGCTAATGGTGTCTAGAATTATTGGCATTGGCATACCCAAGGATATTCCAAGGTAATATGGAACAATGATTAACTATTTCAGTTCTAAAATAGTTAATGACATGAACAGGTTATGTTAGTGTCGACATTCCCACGAACTTGATTAGTTGATTCCAGAATGGGCGACTAAAGATACTAATCTAAGTCATTAGTATCGGCAATCAACTTCTCGGATTGGGAAAAAGATGGTACAATAATGTGCCC